TCCATGAAAGAAAGAACAAAAGGATGGCATGATAAAAGGATGAGAAAGGAGTGTGATATAGGAGACAAGATGCTCATGAATAGCTCAAGCAAGGAAAGCTTCAAGCAAGAAGAAAAGATCACCACACAAGTCATCTACCCTTCATCAAAGGGTGTCATCACACTACAATGAACAAGGCAACATCTTAAGGTAAGTGGTTATTGTTTAAAAAGCTTACCTTTGATCTAGCTATTTGCACAAATGAAGAAACAAACATGTTTGAGTTACAACTTTGTTTGATTCAACATGATTAACTCAATATGTCTTGTTCCTTAAGCTTGTTCATAGCACCACTTTTTTGATCTCATAGTCTTAATCAAATGAGCTAAAATATTGCATATCTTATCTTTGGAAGATGATAGTCATAATTGTGTAAAGTTTGATACATTATGTAAAGATGGACAATCCTTCCATAGGTTAAGCAACTCCACTCTTTTTTGACAAATGTATTCAAATGCCATATTCATCCTCATCCTTCTAATCTTATCACCCATATTGTAAGAATGAATGCACATAATGTCAACCGTAACATAATTCGATGTGCCTAAGGCTAGAGAGAAAAATAAATCAAGTTTTGGTTTTATTGGTGTTTTTCCACCAACAGAGCCCATACACTTGATCTCTACCTTATCTTTATGAGCAGAATACACTTTGAGGAAAGTTTGGGGGAGTCAATCCACCAAATTCTATAAGTGAAAGTTCTAAACCGGCAATAATGATGCACACAAGATATCATCAGTTTCTACTACTAATGGTTGACTTCAAAATGCTAAACAAGATGGAGGAACAAGTCAAGTAAGAAGAATGAACCTGTCAAACCAAAATCAAACTCAAAACTGAGATCGGTTTGGCAAAATAAGGTGGCACCACCATTGGAAGCGCCACTACTAGAGGCGCCACCTCAAGAATCCTCATCTTCAAGAGTGAACCGAGGAACTCGATCAATGATCTTCCACAACTACCGAGGGCAAGATTATGAAGCAACCTCAAGTGGGCATTAGGGAGGACGCATGTATTTCTCTGGCCGAGGGTATCATGACTCTTAGGAGGCTTACTACCGCTTCGACAACAAACTCGTAGCCATTGAAGAGACAAATGCTGCCATGCAAGGTACGTTACATAATCATGCACAATGGCAGGTAAGCATGGGACACGAGATGGCCACCTCCAAAGAACAACAACAACAAAAGAAAAATCAAAATTGGGAGGCTCGTCCTAGAACCTCCACATCCGGTCACCTCGTTGAGCAACCACGACAACAACCAACTTGGGGGACAAGGCATCACCCGTGTATCTAGATAAGTATTTCTTTTCCTTTTATTATTCTTAGTTTGCTTTATATATATATATATTAGAAAAAAATAACTAAAAACAAAATAAAAATTTATCTTTATAGAAATATATATAGTTATAATGTGTGATCTAAAAAAATAAAACAAAATAAAGAGAGTGTGTCTAGTTTGCATTAATTTATTTTTAGGAGCTGAATAAAATAAAAAGGACTATGAAGATAATATCTTAAAATGGAAATGATAAATATTTGCTCTGTTATAATTCCTTTTAAGTGCCTAGTTTTCAGTCTTGAATTCTTCCGAGTTTTGGATAAGATTTTTTTATATAAGGATTCACTTTGAACTTGAAACTCGTGGGTAGCATATGCTTGATCTAAGTCTAGGTAATTAAAGGATATGATATGAGAAGGTCTGAGTTGCTGTTTATCTTATTCCAAGTGACACTAAAATTTTGGAGATTTAACTTTTAAAAAAATACAAAAATACTACATGATGAGTTCCTGTATGATAAAGCTTGAATTCCTACCAGAGTCATAAATGTTATTTAGGCTAGGAAAACTTTCACATATATGCTGCTTGTTTTGCATTGAGTTTTGTCAAGCTTTATTGATCCTTATGAGAGATTTGTCATACTCTTAAAATCAAGATCATGTACACTCCACCCACATATGCACTACTCCTACACTGAGGTAGGCGTAAACACATGTCATTACATTTAGATCCACCCAAAAAAGTTTTACTCCTATACTGGAAGTGAACACAAAAACATGCTTGTTAGGTTTGCATTCAAATAAATGCTTCAAGTTCTTGTTGCTATCTCTCTAATATTTTAGTTGCAGAAAAGAGGCATGGGCTATGCAAAAATTATTCATAAAAAAAAAGGAAAAAAAGAGTCGAGAAAAAATGGACACAAAAGTGTTCGAGACATTTAAAACAATAGTATTCTGTGCGCTTGCGGAATCCTTCATATTATATTTGCACTTATAAATACCAACATTCGCCATGGACTTTGTTTTCGGATCTGGGTTCTCATAAGAGAAATATTTGCAATTATAGAGGTAACATTGTCGATAACTATTATTTTCTTCCAATATTCTCACAATATAAGATTATTCTATCTCTTTGTCATTTCTCAAACAAGACATGATTTGTTGTTCTGCATACCCAACACTAATAATGTGCGCACCTAGTGTGTTGGATTTTATCTTCGTGATGATCCTCTTCACGAGGTGCTTAACCTTCTTCATGAGGTGTTCTCTTCATCAAAATGGAGCAGTTTGTTCTTATTTCATTTGACAAGTATACATTAAACTAGAATTCACAGGTGTCCCCGTATATTTTAGCTTGATAGTATATAATATTTAGTTTACTACTAATAAACACAACTTCTGATTTATAACTTCAAGTTACTCCTTTTATTTTTTAAAAATATATGGCATATGCTCCGCTTCATGCTTCACAAGAGCATTAGTCAAACTATTGTTTGATTTAGCGCGTGATATTGTTCCTGCTTCAAGCTTCGAGAAATATTTTCTTTATATCATTTTTCTTCTATGGAAATAATATTTGGCATTCAAAATAGGCTTTCTCTCCCCCTAATGCCAATATTAGATCTTTAATATCATACTTCAAAAGATATCCCCTATCATGGGCTTAAAATAATCAAATTTATACATCTCCAACTACAAGCGGAGGCCCATTCATTTATGCTATGATAAAATTTTATGAAAAATATTCACGCATATATTTAAACACGGGGGTTAGTATTCATTAAATGCAGCGAGCTAGAATACATAAAGTGCACTTAAGAATGTTTAGTATTTTTACAAACTCAGGGATGTTCTCTCCCTGATTTGCATATATCATAATTTAAAAAAATTATTTTATTGTCTACCTTCTTCATTGTTTAGCTAAAAAAATTGATCCAATTACTCATACGTAATTAAAAAAATGGATCATATACTTCAACTGTATAAATATGCAACATTCAAAATTATATGGAATTTCTTCTATAATTTTTTAACCAAATGCCTTTTCTTCATAAATCCTAAATCATCATTAAGTGTTTTATCTATTAACTTAATTTCCACTATAATTCAGCCCATTCAAGTGGGTCACTTCTCCATTTAGCCCATTTTGGATTGGCCCTTTTAGATTAACCAACTCCCCCTGATCTTAGGCTACTTGGCCCTATACCAATCTATTGCTTATGCATGCGATGCAATGAAAGCAAAATATTCCTTAGTTCAACGAGAACTATATAGACATAGCATACTAGCTTGCCAATGTAATTATGAGGGAAGTGCAAAGGTAGCTACTAGCTACAAATGTATCTGTTATACTAATATTCATGCAGGAGTGGAGATAGTGCAGCTCGACGGGAGCATAACATAGTGATACACATTCATGTGTAATGTGAAATGTTGGTATTCAATCCAACGTAATAGATAACAACAAAATACAAAGCTACAAGCTTGCTTGCAATTAGTGCAATGTAGAGAAAGTTAACTCGGCCGGAAGGGATGCGGCTAGGACTTCAAGTCCTGATACATGCACTTAAAAATAGATTTAGAAAGGCTATGCCTATTAAATATATATTACCCACATTTTCTTATGCCTTTAGTTATTACGGATGCCAATTGATCTACCCCACATACCGCATAGGGCAGTGGTTAGTAGATACATACCGCGTACGACGTTTGGCATTGTCGTAGATCTGCCTGCTTGACGACGACGGTTTATGTCGATGCAGTGCAGATTAGTTATAGGTCGAGGTAACAGATCCTATCCGCTAACAACGTCGAGGATGTCGACGCCGTCGAAGTAGTCACGGCGGAATGTTGACGGTACAAGTGTCGGCATTGAAGATCGGCCACAGCTTCGACGGCGATGCCGACGAAGAACTTGTCATGCTGATAACGTGTTATAAAATATGTTGCTAGCAGTTAGGACCTTCCCCTCTCCGTCTCTCATGATCAACTCAATAAATAAAATAGAAGAACAAATAGATACAAGATAGAGAGAGTGTTTTTCATTTCTCTGAATATTGATGATTACAACATAGAACTCCCATACTTATATAGTCCTATCAAGTACTAAGAGTTTGGTAAGAGTCTACATACATACGGACTAGGATTAGGATTCCACCTTCTACTTTTCTTCTAGGAAATGGTACTATTTATAATATTTTTACAGTACCCTTGAAGCGACAAGAGCCATCCAATCCTCCAACTTATTTTTCCATCGAACCTTATATCGCTCAATCATGGCCCATGCAGTACCACACTGGCCCAAGAAGCATATTATGTTGGGCTTGTTTACGCATCGGCTGGAGCAATACAGGTAACCGGGTGCAAAATCAGGCCTGTTTTCTTCTTTGCTATCAGTCCTGGACCCTCCCAAACTTGGACATCCTCTGGCTTCACTCCGTCTGGCAACTTCCAGTTATAGTGGTACAGAAGGCTCGCCAGTGCGAGTTCAATGTTAGCCAGTCCAAGGTTTGCTCCCGGGCACATACGGCGGCCGGATCCGAACGGAAGAAACTCGTAGTTTGTCCCCTTGTAGTCAAGGTTGGTGTTCTCGAACCGCTCTGGCCTGAATTCCTCTGCATCTTCCCAGTACTTGGCGTCCCTGCAGATCGCCCAGACGTTGATGAACACGGATGTGCCCTTAGGGGATGTCGTAGCCCATGACCTGGCACGTCTCCCGGCACTGCCGCGGGAGCAGGAGCGGCAGTGGGCAGTGCATCCTAAGAGCTTCCTTGATCACAAGCTTGAGGTAGATAAGCTCTGCCCCGGCGAGGTCATCCTCGGTGATTCTGGTCTTCCCCTTGAAGGCCTCCCGAACCTCGGCCTGCGCTTTGGCCATGGTTGCCGGGTACCGCATTAGCTCTGTCATGCACCAGTTCAGTGTCGTCGACGAGGTATCGCTGCCGGCGCCGAACAAGTCCTAGAAGAAACAAGTTCAGGTCAGCACTCAGGACAGGCTGAACGACGATCCAGATGGTTAAAGGCGGTGATATGATCCATGAATCCATCGGGAGAAGCAAGACTTACAAACATGAGCGCCACAATGGTGTCGTTGGTAAGCTCAACGGGCAAGCTGGCCTCTTTCTGCAGCCTGAGCAGGACACCGATTAAGCCCTCGTGCGCCGTCTTCTCGCCACGGTCCATGGCCTCCACCTGCTCGTGGATGATCTGCTCCAGGATGCGCGTGATCCTGTTGCGGCACTTGAGCGCGTTGCGAGGCGCCGTGCCGAGAATCTGCATGAGCCTCGACGACGGGAAGAGGTCGGCCACGGTGAGCACCGACGTCTGCCGGACCGCGGTGTCGAAGGCATCCAGGTAGTCGTCCTGGTACTTGCACCGGCTGCCGATGGACTCCCTCACGAAGGTGTCGTTGATGAATCTGGAGATCATCTTGGACAGGTTGACTGTGGCGCCGGCGCCGGCGGACGCGGCGAGGCTCTGCATGAACCGCGCCACCTCCTCCTCGCGGATGCGCTGGAACGACTGCACGCGCGCGACGCTGAGCAGCTCCAGCACGGTGATCTTGCGGAGCTGGCGCCACCGCTCGCCGTAGGTCCCGAACACCAGGTCGGTGCCGTTAAAGGTGAGCACGCCGATGGTGGCGTTCAAGTGACGGTCGGCGAACGTGATGTCGTACGTCTTCGTGATCGCCTGCGCGGCCTCCGGCGACGACACCACCAGCGTGGGCACCTCGCCCAGCCGGAGCATCATGAGCGGCCCGTGCTTCTGCGCGAGGTCACGCATTGCCCGGTAGATCGATGGGCTGGTGACCAGGTGGTGGATGCTGCCTATCAACGGCAGCGTCCACGGCCCTGGGGGCAGGTTTAGCTTCGGCTTGGTGACTAGCAAAGACTTGAGCTTGGAGACGACGACGAGCAGCACGACCACGGCCACGGCGAGGAGCACCTTCTCCTCCATTATATTATTGTGAATAGCTAGCTAGCTATCTAGTTTCTGTGTGTATTATGCGACGACACCACGAGCAGCACGACGACTCCTGCTCGACATGATAGCGGCCATGACCCGTGGCTAAATTTATAGTAGCAACGGTAGTATATTGCATCTTTATATTGAAATAATAGTCGTATTATATTGTGGTGGAAATTAAGATGGACGGTCTAGGTCAAATCCTCGTGGCTTGACGTTTGAATATGTCTCAACCAAGTAAATGGCAGTATCTCAAATGGTATTTCTGCGGTCACTGTACGTCAAAATAAAAAGGTTTTCTTTTATATTAAGAGGTGTAATGAAGTAATTGAATGTATATATTATATGACTAAAATTTGATTGAGAACCAACAAAGGCACAACGGTGTTTTATTTTTTTGGCGTGCCTACATTTTCAATGGATTCAAACCGTATAATTTGGATCACCATCCGGTCCTAAATCAAATCTACTAAGTATGGTTGAAAATCGATATATGTCGAGCTATTGAAAAATACACTTCTCCTATATTTTCAGGTGTCTAAACTTTAAGATAATTTTAGACAACACTTTTATTCAAACAACTAGTACAAATAAATTGTTACTTTTGAGATTTGTTATTTGTCCTTGTGCCATAACATATTAAATTTTTGTCCTTGTCTTTCTATAGAAATAATTGTAAATAGTTAGTTATCTTTGTGCCAACACAAATCAGATTTTATCGAGTTTGTCGTTTTATCTAATGGTTTTTTTTTATTCTCGGTACCGAAAATTGTAGATTGCATCTACAGAAATTGCTACGAACAAAATCTGTTATTTTAGTACAAAATATGTGTAATAACCATCGCCTAAAAAAAGCTAAAATTCAGGCACCTGAATTTTAGCAAGTCCCTCAAAAATATGATAACTCAAGCACTTGAAAAAAATTGCTAGTCTTGTCTCGGATCGAGATGTCCTGTATTATATATAAAGCCAAGTCTGCCTCGTACTTCCTCTATTTCAAATTGTGCTTGTTTTATCTCAAGTCAAACTTTTCTAATTTTAACCAAATTTATAGAAAAAATATATTAATATCTACAATATAAAATAAATGTGCTATCAAAATATATTTCATGGTGTACCTAATAAATCTTGTTTCATATTTTAGGTACATGTTTTTCATTTTTCTATAAACTTGATCAAACCTCGAAACATATGACTAAGAATAAAACTAAAACAACTTAATTATAATTTAAAAACGATGAAGTTTTCATAAAACTAATAATAAATATCGTACATGTGCCTTGTTGAAGTACCACCTCATGCCCTAGGGTGTTTGGATGTAGACAGCTATGAGCATCTCCATTGGTCTTTCTTAATTAAACCCACTCTCTAAATTATCATTTGGAGAGTCATTCTAGTTGAAGAAGCTATGGGAGGTATTTTCTTTCACCAAAATCTCTATTGCTATCAATATAGAAGGATATAAAGAGCCTCTTGAAGTTGCTCCAATAGTTGGCTGCTCCAATAGTTAGTGGATCAAACATCCTAGCTAATAGTTCAACTAATACCTAATAAAAAGTAACTAGATGGCTCCCTAGAAGCTCTAGTTTCGTTTTGGTAATTGAGTGACAACTAGTGGACTAACAAGGTGCTTCAGTGTTGAATAAGTTATGTTATGTCCACAACCAAGAGTTGAGCTATGGAAACCATGGAGGACATGGCGATGGCCAAGAGATGACCAAGTGCTCAACATTGGATTAGGGAAGAGGGAGATGGAAACAAGCCCGAAGGCAAAGGTATAGCATATGGATTTCTATTTCAACGGTAATAGAGTGCATGGTCGGGTTTAGGATAGATAGTCATTAAGAGTGGAGCTCTAAAGTGATTGTGGTTATCTAGCGTCACTAGGTGATGACATTAATTGCATATGCATTAGACCTATTACGTGGTGAGGAAGCAAGAAAAAATGTTTTTGAAAAACTTTTGAAAATGCAACTCAATACTAAGTGGTGTTGTTGAAGTTTTGAGTTAGCATGCTTGCAAAGTGGGTGAGAAGAGCTACTGAAGTTGAGTTTTTCAACTCATCGGAGCTCTCTAGTTAGATCCTTTGGAGCTTGCGTGGTGGTAGCCTGCCTCTCGATAATTCTCGAGATGACACATTAAGTTTCGGTGCTCACCAAAGAGTTCACACAATGCACAACAAATTAGGTGTGGGAAGTTCAAACTTAGTTATCGGAGTTGTCGGTGCAAGCACCAGACAACACACTAGACCTTTGGTCTAGAGAGGTTGTTTTGGTGCACTTCAGCCTCAGAGCTCACGGATATCTTTGTGTGCTTGCACCAAGAAATCACCGAGTGTTGACATCGTTAACTAGTAGTTTTGGAGCCATTGGGAACTCTAGTGTGAGTTCCGGTGCCATCACCGAAGGTCTCTAGTGCACACAACCTTTCAACAGTTTCTTTAAACGGCTAGTTGAGTGTTTAAATGGCTAGTTGAGTGTTTGGGCTTTTAAATAGGGCTTGTGGCTGGCCTTGGCCACTCTATTGGACCCTTTTGCTGATTGATACACATATTGGAGCTTGAGTTTCACACTCCACTCACTTTGCTCACTTGAGATTGCATCTGTGTGAGGTTTGGAGTGATATAGTGCATTGCAATAGAGTGTTTGCATCTTGGCACTATGTGATTATTGTTGCTAAGGATTCTCTTATTATTCTTGGTGGTTGCTGCCGCCTAGATGACTTGGAGCTTATGGAGATCGTTGAGTACCGTTAGGTGATTATGCGGGGACTCCGATCAAAGGGTTTGTGAGGGGCTTTGTGCTCATCCCCATGGGAGCTCATGAAGAGTAAATCTAGTGGAATCAAGAGGCTTGGAGTGTGCTTTGGTGACACGCTAGCTTTTACACAAGTTCCCACAATGAGGGTCGAGCTTGTGTGCTCGCGAGGCTCGTAAAGCGTTTGTTTGATAGGACTTGCCTCATTGGGGACATAGGTTGCCGGCAAGCAACCGAACCCCGAGGGAAAATCTTGTGTCACTTGACCTCAATAGTTTGCATTCTATGACTCTTGCATTTACATTCATAATCTTGTGCTTGCGTAGTTGCTTGTGTAGTTCTTGAGTCGAGTAGAAGTAATTTGATTAGTTGCTTTATTTATGTAGCTTGACTAGTTGTTTAGTAAACCATGGTTAGCTTTGAGTGACCTGGTGTTGCTAGTTGTTCATGCTTGCTCACTAGAATCATGTAGGAGGTTTGCATTGAAATGCTAGATTAGGCTTGTAGAATGCCTTTGTTACTAATATACTTGCCTAGTTGTGTTTGTGTCATTGAAGGAATTTTAATAGGTTATTCAACCCCCTCCCTCAAGCCATCCATAGATCCTTTCACTCCCTCTAGCTAAATGTAGCCAATTATTAGTTATAGTTAGTTAGAAGATCCAAATGGGCCTATCTAATAGCTTCGCTAATAATTAAAATTATTAGTTGGTTTTCCTAGCTAGCAAATATAAAAATAAATTGTCTTTATCAAACACCATGTTACATTCTTACCTTCTGTAAGCTCTAGTAGGGGCACAATTAGCCTAATGAATCGTGCTTGTTGTAGTAGTTGTTGCTACCGCCGACACAGAATTTTAAATCTGTGTGCCGAGGACACACGTAGCAAGCCGTAAGGGTCTGCTCGATGGAGTTGTAGATCCGCCTAGCTTCAGCGCAGGGATAGTCGATCCTACGCACTCCTCCCAAGACGTGCCAGTCAATTTGACCCTATAATTGACAAGGAGAGAAAGTTCATCAGTAATTAAGGGTGAAACTTGCCGGTGTTGCCAGACAGTCCCGAATGTGCGGCTATGAGAGCCGATATGAAAGGAGATCGACTAAATAGTCGATCCCAGCATATTCATGAGAATAAATCGATAAAAGCTCATTGAGTTGTATAAGAAGAATTGGTTATCATTTAGGGAAAATGTCATTATTCGAACAGATATTAATCAATGGCAATAAAATGTTAATAATGATTGGTTTGTACTAAGCCATTGATTACAAGTAACCGAACCCCTTTTTATATAAAGAAACGATTCAACACCATTTAACCGTTTGGTAAAGATAAATCTAATGAACATGTTAGATCTCATCTATTGCTATGACCAATGGGGCATGAGGCAGAATCATGTAGGTTGTAGAAATAACAATAGACTTGATGACCCTAACTCATTTCTAATATCAGTGATGCATGAGGCAGAATCATGTAGGCCGTAATACAATAATAAGATCATGGGGCTAACATATCTTTCAACATATCTTTACTTCAACAGTCTCGTGATGCGAACTGTTTGTGAAAGCGCTCGAAATCGGCTAAACAGCCGATTCAGGCATTGCGCACAGTTAAAGTCATGCCTTATCAGGAATAGATTTACCAGATAACGATCCCCACTCCATGGTGCTAACAGTGGGGTGTGAGGCAGAATCACACAGGTCGTGATAACGGGCCATGGAACGGTTCTCGCTAACCAATAAATCTACGCAAGACGTAACACGCCTTAACTGCATGCTATGCACGATCAGGATTGACATAAAACAGCCGATAAAACATAACTCATCGTTTAAAGTGTAGATTAGATTAGTTTGAATTAGCAAACGATGGGCTAAACAAGATATAACGCCGATCTAGATCAATCCCAATCGGGCAGAATGATATTGCTGTAAATAGATAAATAATGAAAGCAATAAGCAATACCGGTAACTTAATGAATCTACCAAAGGCTGTCATCCTAAGGTAGAGCCGATAACTTGATCTTGATCTAGTTTATGCAGTGGGGGTCGACCGGATCGATGCAGCCATACTTAAACTAGGCAAGAATCGATAACTAACTCATACCAGAGCACAGTGGAGGTCGACCAGATCAATGCAGCCGTACGAACAGAGGTATAAGCCATGACGGTACTTACAACAAGCAGTGGAGGTCGACCGGATCGATGCAGCCATACTTGCTGAAGAACTCGCCGAGATCTA